ATACATCTGCAGAACACGAAGGATATTGACAAAGAAATAATGTAAAGTATAAATACGGGATATACATGTTTTGGCAGATATAAGGATATGTATTTAAATTGTGTATTATACCAAATGTAATTTATGAGTGTAACATATGGGAATATGTTCAGAATAAAGAGGAATATCAGAACAATGCAATGGAACAACGAAGAATAGAATAGAATAGTGCTCTCTGACTTCCTTAAGGAAATCTGTCTAATATGGACCTTACCCTTGAACGATGAATTATGCATCAAATTTGCAGGTAGTATAAACTTGTGCAATATCCTCGCATTAGAGGAAGCCGGCCTATTGTACATTTGAATTATCGGATAAATATCTGATAATTCTCGATGTTTTAGATTGATATTAGACAGGGTCTACAGCTGGGTGGTGGTTTAATTTTTTTAAACATGGAATTCTCTGAGACCTATCAATGTCTTAGATTGATAGGAAAACGTATAACGTGTGGAGGTAAACAAGGATTGTTGGCCGAAAACACACAATATAGGAATGGAAAGAGATAGTGTGAAACCACAGTCCCTCTATCACTATGATAGAGGGACTGTGGTGAAACCTTTGTATTTTTTGGCAATCTCAAAAACTTATGCAAACACTACGGAATGCTAAATGCAGTGCCTATTCATCTCTCGCATAATAAATAAATGATTTTAATTATTATGTAGATAAACTTGGCAACCTTGCAATTCCGCGACTGATGAATATCAAAGTACAACTTTCATAAAAAAAGTAAAATAATTCTCCGATAATTATCGATCTAAAACTTCGATAGTTAGGCAATCGGAGAATTTAAGGTTGGAACCACATCCAACAGATACGGATCTTGTCAAATAATTGTAAAGTATTAGAATGATACAATGGGCAACATTGTTTGATAATTTTCTGATAATTATCCGATAACATTAGGCAAGATCCCGCCTTCACGGACTTTCGAGCATCATGGCCGGACTACACTACAGTTGGATTTCCAGTATTAACACAAGTCTAGTTTGACACAAGTATACTGTGTGTCGGAACATAGGGGTGTCGGAACACAGTGGCGTCGGAACATAGAGATGTCGGAACATAGGGCAGTCCCCCTTTCTCAGACACCCCCTGTTCGCGCAAGCGCGGACACAAAAGTGTGCCCTCACTTTTCAGAATGGATCGACGCCCCTGATTCACCAGGCAAATCTTGAGTGGACTGGGAAGGGCTCTTTCAATGGCTGAATCTACCCAACACCCCGTGACTTTCGAATTCGTTTAAGACCTCTCTGACGTATCGTTCTCTTTTAGGCACTTCATGTGTTGGTAATTGTAGAGGCTGTAATTCGTTTGGCTGTTGTTGTGATAATGCATGCCTAGATCTCGGTGACTGCTGCGACGACTTTCTAGAGGTGTGCCCACGTAAGTATAAACAAGTAAATATTAGGAGTAAGTTGCCAATTCTATCATCGTGGTGTTGTTCATTTCATATGTAACATTATATATTACACCATATGTAAAAATTAATCGTGTGGCGATTGCCCAAGCATGTTATATTTTGACAGACATCTTGGTTGAAGACGATAATAAACATAAAAATATATTCATGTGTATGGTAATACAATTGCATTTGTTTAAAAGTCATTTTTTTCCTTTTTCATTTAACTAAACAGGCACGACGCCGTTCCCGAAACCCACAGAAGCGCGTAAGTAGTTATTGTGAATTTGTTTCTGATTTATTATCTATAAGGTTTCTTTCTCATTGCCAATCGATCTATCTATCAATAAACAAAGCAACAGAAACCCACATTTTGGGTATAAAATTCATCGATGACCTGCCTGAAGCATCCAATGTTTTTACGATTACGAAATGTATCCATTGTTGTGTATTGTGCTACCACTGTATTGTATTGTGCTACCACTGTGTTGTATTGTGCTACCACTGTGTTGTATTGTGCTACTACTGTGTTGTATTGTGCTACCACTGTATTGTATTGTGCTACCACTGTGTTGTATTGTGCTACCACTGTATTGTATTGTGCTACCACTGTGTTGTATTGTGCTACCACTGCGTTGTATTGTGCTACCAATGTGTCGTATTGTGCTACTACTGTGTCGTATTGTGCTACCACTGTATTGTATTGTCCTACCACTGTGTTGTATTGTGCTACCACTGTGTCGTATTGTGCTACCACTGCATTGTATTGTGCTACCACTGTGTCGTATTGTGTTACCACTGTATTGTGTTACCACTGTATTGTATTGTGCTACCACTGTGTCGTATTGTGCTACCACTGTATTGTATTACCACTGTGTTGTATTATGCTACCACTGTGTTGTAGTCATATTAGTTCTAAAGATAAATGTGTTTCAATATATGTTATAGCTGGTTGTGGGGACAACACACCGACGATACCAAATGGCGGAAGTATTGATGTATTCACACCGAATTATCCCAGTAATTACCCTAGCAATTCAGATTGTGAATGGATACTGAGAACACAGGACGGAACGAGAGTCTTCGTGGAGCATGTCGACTTCAACACTGAGGAAAATTTTGATGTCTACTCCGCTGGAAATGGAGATACGCCGAGTCTAGCGACCAGTGTTATATGGCAACACTCTGGCGCCAACCCACCCCCTGACTTTCTATCTGATGGTGGGACTGCCTGGATAACTTTTACATCAGACCTTATTATACAAAGAAGAGGATTCCACGTTGTAGCTCATGATTCTGGTCAGTTTTTGTTGTTGAGTGGTATAAAGTGTGGAATGTTGTTCTGCTTTAAATACTATGAGGTTATTACGATAATACCAAAAAGCATGCCCGAAGACAGTACAGTGGGATGTCGACTAACGGGCAGCGTGGTCGATGCGACGGCGTACTGTCATACTTTGCATGCGGTATCCTCGTAATAACCCTATTATTATAGATCCTTTTCGCCAATGATACATCAAGGGAATGCCTAAATCCAAAAAGCTTTGAACAGATTTAGCGAACTTCCTGTGTGGAGTCTGGTCAAACCCTTTGGGCCGCCATGTTTGTTTTTTTATTATTAGAGGACGTTTAAGCGCGTAATCGCTTTTCCTAATATGGTAGGATGAAATACCAAGTGCAATACAGCAAAATTACGGCATGATGTAACTTATGGCGTTACGGTGACGGTGACGTATAATAATATCTGATATTCGCGTTTGAGCTAAGCTGAAAGCTTTACACTTCCTTATTATTACAACTATTTGCAAATATTCGTAAACCAGAATAAAGGTTACCAGCCGTGAGAAGCATTCTTGGAAACTGAAAAACTATTTATTCCATTCTATCCTATTTTCACAGGCCATGGTACCTGTAGCGGATTTTGTGGCCTTTATAATGATCAACATAACTGCAGTTGTACTGACACCTGTGTTATTGACGACGATTGCTGCTCTGACTATTTTGATATATGCGGTGGTAATTATATATAGATTTGTAAAATATCCTGTCGGCATTTCGGAATGTGACAAACAAATCGTGTTATATTGATATTCGATTGCACATGTTCGATGATTGACGAAACTTGACGTGATACATAATAAAATGATATTATTAATTGTGCCTGGTGGTTTTTCAATAATATTGTTTATTACTTTAATAAAACAAATGCTATTTTCTAGGGGATTGCAATGAGGATATACAAATACCGACCAACGGAAACGTAATTATCACTACTCCCAATTATCCTTCTAACTACCCTGACTACTCAAGATGCCAATGGATTGTTGATACTGCCCAGGGAACTCGAATAAACGTCACCTTCAATGACTTCAATACCCAAGAAGGTGCAGATTATTTATTTGCTGGACATGGATCGGACCCATCGCAGGCAACCAGTGAAATATGGGCTCATTCTGGTTCACAATTACCTCCAAATTACGTCAGCGACCATGAAAAAGTGTGGCTGCAATTCACGTCTGATGGTTCTATTACAGATACGGGATTCCAAGCTACGCTATGGGATAGAGGTTAGCGTGTTTTACCGTGTTCTGAAAATATAAATGATATGAATAGTTCGTTAAATGTCATTCCTGGTGTTCGGTAGAGGCTAGTAGAAGAAGTTGGTGACTTGCATATCGATGTATGAATAATACAAATTACCTTGACCTCGTGTACAGAACGTAGAACGGCAGCACGAGTAGTGACATTAATCAGTAAACAAGATAATTTTGAGAGGCATTTCTCAGCGGCTGCACTAAATTTTGCATGAGGGCGAGATCTGAAATCTAGACCCTCTGAAACGATATTTCCTGCATTTTGAGGGGCAAATTTTGCTGACACAACGGGTTTCAGATAGATTTGAGAGGGCGACAACAGCCCCCCCCCCCGGTGCCGTTGCCACCGTGTATGACATGAGAGTACATCTGATTAGACAATATATTTTTAGAACATTCTTTTAAATAATAATGTTGCATACCAAGGCACTCTTGGGGCAGTTTTAGGTAAATTATACATTTCAATAATCAAGCAACCAGATTCGTTTCGAACCAAATTGTTGGTACAAATATTGTAAAATATAATTGGTCATATTTTGACATAGCGGTTCATGATATTGATGCTAGATTCAGTGAATGAGTTCCACATAATGTCAGACAGATTGTAAGTCTACGCTGTATATTAGCTTGCATAGGATTGAATCTAATATGGCAAAGTGACAGGGTCGTTCATTATTATTATTAATCTATCGAAAGGCGACCGAAAGCTGATAAAATACTTTCTGATACTTTACGTGACTGCTATGAGACTTGGTAACTAACATAGTTATTCCCCAATCTCCAGGTACATCGTCGTGCAATGGTGAATGCGAAACATACAGCTCAGATGGTTGCAGCTGTTTCTCAAAGTGTGCATACGATTTCAATTGTTGTGATGACTTTTACGCAACATGTTCAAGTAAGATTGCAAATTGTTTGTCATTTGAATATAATATGTGTGTATTTTTTGCGCTCACGTATCGCAAAGAAGCTACACTGATTTGAATTATTGAAATACTGATATGTCTCTGAATTTAAATAATGCTAAAAGAAATATTTAATCGAAGGACAGTAAAAGGCAATACGTATGTAACTTGAGTCCCAAGCGACAATAACAACACACGCTAAAAACGCAAAGGCTCATGGGCAGACGCTTATTTGTAAACAATGACACGCTATGGCCATCGGACGCATGCGCAGGTGACGACTTTCACGCGTTAACAGGGCGTATTGGCGTACGTTTTTATCTGCTGTAAGAAAAGAAACGGGTAGCACAATTTGACTCTACATACTATCCACTAATGTTCAACTTGAAGACGTATTCTTGCAAAATGTGATGTTAAACCTTTTCAGTGCCCGGAGTTGTACAGTTTAGCTTATTCCAGCTTTTGTGTAACAGTCTGTTACGTAGCTCCGCCAGAATTGGCCATTATTAGTTATTCGTATTTACGATAATACGTAACTATTTCATTTAAAACGTCGCGAACACCACATTTTCAATATTATTACAATATCAATAAAATATGATTAAATACTGCAATAGATGATTGTCATTTCACAGTTCTGGTTGTATTATGATATTAAAGCCAAATTAGATATATTACAATTGTAACAAAAAGGAATATTTAGTCAATTCTCTTTAGTGCATATTATTTTAGAGCCATGGTAATTGAAAGCGTTTTTTGTTTTTGTCTAATCCATATAATTCTGTCTCAAATGAACTATATAAAATATATATTATATATATTATATAAAAATAAATGAAATAGCAAATATATATTTTGTTGACCGACGACCACGGGTCAAAAAATATCGGCTAACCGCTTGTGTGAGTGCCTTCTCCAAAACAACAATTTACGTAATAGAATCGCTTCGGCGCAAGAGGGCGCGACATATATAAAAGGTATATTGCAAAAGATTGGTTAATTGATATAATTTAGGCGTAGATGTCAATTTCATTGTCTCTTATACTATAGGCGTTCTTAGAACTTAGATTTTATATTTAATCACATGCATATTACGTAATTTTTTTTTAGATGGCTGCAATTTTGATTACAGTGTTCCTGTTGAAGGGAGTGTTGTCGCGACGAGTCCTAACTACCCATCCGACTACCCACCAGACGCCAATTGCCAATGGATATTCACTGCTAACGTTGGAGGGAGACTCAATGTCTCATTTGATGATTTCTTGACCGAAGCCTGCTGTGACCAAGTATGGGCCGGTGAGGGCGACACTCCAAGTGCCGACACAACTATTATCGCCGGACATGGCGGTTCGGAATTACCACCTAGTTTCCTTACAACCGGCAGCTCAGCGTGGATGAGGTTTTACTCGGATTCCAGTGTTCAGATGAGAGGTTTTCAGGCAACAGTTTCGTATGTATGTGAGTAGTCTCAATTTCATTCAAAATATTATCATATTATCCAGTTGGTCATATGCGTCCGCTGTTACTGGATATTTCTATTCATTGTACTTGGTCTACTCTACAATATGTTAGACTAGCAATTTGGGACTTCTTATTTGTTTTACAAGAAAATATAATTCATTGTCATTTTAGCCTTTTTAGAACTTAAAACAATTAATTATTTCTTTTTGTAAAACAAAAGAGAAGTCCCGACTTTGCCAGTTCAACAATATGTGTACAAATGCACTTATGAACAGTGTTTTATCCAATATTGGAATAGATATTATTTATTGAAAAGGTTAAATATTTTCTTGACAGATGGATCTTGTGATGGAAATTGTGACAGCCTTGTGGCAGGATGTAGCTGCTATTCCGACTGTTTGTATGATTTTGACTGTTGTCCTGATTATCACGAAGTCTGCGCATGTAAGTATGTTTTTTTGTTTTGTAGAAACAGTTTTCAGTCACTAAGGCAAAATAATGTTCTGTTGCCCTCAGCGACCGACCGAAAAATATTAAATATCGGGTCGCGGTTCTTTTTTTTTTTTTTTTTTTTTTAATAGGCCCAAATATTAAAAACTCACCATTTTAAGCAGTAAAAACGTGTTTCCTCTATTAATTTACGATCCCGGACCGTTGTTTGACCCCAGGGTCACCGAGGGATAAGTAGCGACTTTTAACCTCGGGTTGATCTGTAATTCACTGAAAAAAATAAACAAAGAAATAAAATCCGACCTACCAAACCAATTTTTCAATTTTCCGACTTGAGGGCAACATAAGTTTTTGTTGTTTGGTCTTATGTTAAATTAATAATAGATAATATAATAAGTCCATGTATTTTTACAATTTTTAATTTAACAATAATAGCAGTTTTCTGATAACGGTTATTGTGGTTTAGTGAGATGCATGTTTTCATTGTTGAGACTTTTTGTCAAGGTATTGCGTATGATTTAATATTTAACCTCTCATTAATTTACATGTAACTTTTCTCATATCGTCCAAAGTATTAAAATTATGTTTTAAACAACGCTGAATAAATATTCAAATATGTTTTGTGTTTGGACATGTGGACATTTTATACGTGATCTGTCCGCGTATTAGCTTGACATATAGGCGTGAGTAGGCCCTCGCCGACCGAACTGCATCAGTTTGAAGCACCGCGGAGGGCGCAACTCATGCGACTCGTCAGGCTATCCGCGTATATACAGTATGATATTATCGTCACGTGATTTCTCTTATTTGTAGAACAGGTTGATTGTGACGTCATGGTATAGTAATATTTGCGACAGCCCATGACGTCAAGGGCAGCTCTACAAATAAATGATATCAGGCGATAAGTTTTTTGTCACATTTTTACAGAACTACGCTCACGAGTGGATATGCTAATTTATGCTAATTATGCGTGACGTCTAATTGCGTCAGTTAACGCGAATTTGCAGTTACGGTCGCAGAAACTTGTTTTCGAAATTTGCACCATGTGAGTAATTGTCTGAAATTCTCATAGTGTAAAAAACAATAATAATAACAATAATGCTATAATTACATTACAAATCTCGGAATGTGTATGACTTGGCTCTGTCTGGTATTAAGATGTGTTTATTCATCGTGACTTGGAAGTTTTGAGGTCTACCTATTGAATAAATGTCTAAATAAATATATATACACAAAGGTATAATCTTCTGTGCAAGATACAGAGATAGATTTTCTATTCGAGTTGGTGGTAGACAATGACTAAAGTGACATATCAGCTGACATTGAAGGGTACCAAATAGAAAACGCTACAACAGCCCACATCACATTTTTGTTTTCTTTTCAGTTTATCTGTGTGTATACGCTTTTGTTTCTGTGAATTATTGTGTGTAAAATAAAAAAAAATATCATAAATATCAAAAAAAATGTCTAAAGTGTTTGTGAATTGAAAAGATGGTGGGAAAAGTTTGCTTATATAATAAGTTATATAACAGTTTATATATTGTGTATCTTATATTATTTTATTTCAAAATCACTAGTTTGTGACGTAAAAATCAGCGTACCGGTGGGTGGCAGTGTAGATGTCACGTCCCTGGAATATCCAGATGATTATCTAAACGACAACCAATGCCAGTGGATATTAACAGCTGAAGATGACGCAAGACTTTTTGTTCAGTATATCGACTTCGCTACCGAGACATGTTGTGATTTTTACTTCAGTGGCAACACTGATCAGCCCAGTAGTGATAATGCTGTCATCGTAGCACATTCTGGTGATAGCTTGCCACCAAATTTTATGTCAACGGACCCTTCTGTTTGGATGCGATCCGCTAGCGATTGGAGCATCACAGATAGAGGTTTCCACGCGAGGGTCTATCACACAAGTAAGTCGCTTGATAACTCCGTTATGTTTTGTGATATCTGTTATACCTATGCCCTTCCTCGTGGTAACACTACCTTGAAATTATGTATGCCATAATATTATAATGATTATCGTTTTGTAATTACTAATGTGTGCACGAAAACACCAAAAACAATAGTCATTTCGCTTAATTTTTGGACAAATTTGTAACTCTAGAATTAATTAGTTGACACGGTCAAAATTAATTAGTTGACATGTAAACTGAGGATAGCTATATTCTCATGTCGAACCCTACTTGGCAATTGATTATTTCAATGGTAATTATGTAAATTTAATTATTATTTCGATTCATTGAACTAATTATGTATGTATCTGGGATGGTTATAGCATACATTTCTTTTGCTGTTAAAAACCCTGCCATCAGACCGAGTGAACTGTCACAAAATGAAACACAAGACTAACTAAGTAACATCGCGATATCCAACTATGCACCAAATCCGCTCTATGATCCAAGTTTGCATTACCAGCCTTTATTTATAACTTGCTACATGACAATAAACTATGAAAAGTCTTTTTCAGTCAGTCAGCTGTCATTTTATGACAGTGCGCTGTGACGTCACGGAGAGTGCGTCTGCTTACAGTGGCGAGTGACGTCACGGAGAGTGCGTCTGCTTACAGTGGCGATGCACATTTGCTGAGTTATGAATTCGAATCCCGTATTTATGTGTTCGTATTCTCACGAGCGAACATCCGGGTAATTTCACAATCTGGCAACCACAACCGGTACTTTGTGTTAGTTGTTGAGACACTCCTGTACCCCTAGATGTGCAACATATATAAATTAATAGAAATGGTAAATTTTTTGTCATAAATGCGTGGAAATTTGGGACAATATATGATTTATATGTAATCGGTCGACATTTTCCAATAGCCCAATGTATTATCAACACTTGTAACGGACATCCGGGTATTTTCTCCGCTTGTCAACCACCACGGTGAAATCAAAGGTAAAAACTGTACTTTGGGATAGATGTTTTATTTTTGAAATTCCCAAGAAACGCGTTGATAATAAAGCTACACTACTCATAAATGCATAAATATGAATAAGATCTAGTTCACTAGCAAAATACCAAAATGAGTCGAACATTAATAAAGATTTAGATTCAGCAATGCAAATAATAACCGGTAATAATGTTTCAAATTATATGCAACGTGGCATAGTATCATTGCATTAAGAAATCATCATGTGTACTTCAGTGGCGGCGGCACAGGAGGGGGAGGGGGCAAGGGGGCCCGGACCCCATAGTAAGGTCTCGGGAAGGATGGGGAGCAGAACTCGCCCCATGCACAATATGTTGCCGCCGCCTTAGCTTGTACTTTACTTCTTATTAATATATGTGTTCTTTGATACAGCCGCGTTCTGTGGTGGACAATGCGAGTTCATGGCTGAAGGATGTAGTTGTTATTCAGATTGCATATATAACGATAATTGCTGTATAGATTACTTTGAATCCTGTGCAGGTAACAGTTTAGATTGTTGTTTGTCTAAGTCGTTCTTTGACTCGGATTGTTGTGCAATTATCATATTATGCACGTGCCAATACTTGATAGTAGGGTGCACGTGCGTCAGTACAGTTACTGTGCATGATAGTTTACCTGAGTTGTATCCCGATAGAGGGCGCATGCATATCGATAACATTTTCGCAATATTCCAACAGTGCCAACACTCCCGTATATGATTTAATTTTAAGAACAAACACGCTATAATTTTATAATTATTTTGTGTAAGCTAATGTCCACTTCCAAACACGTACACACAGTGATAACTGTTCATTGTATTCCCTACAGCTGATTGTACTTTTTCGTACTTCCTATCGGCTGGTGAAAGTATAGACATAATGTCCCCAAACTATCCGAGCAATTACAACAACAACGACCAATGCAAATGGGTGGTTAACACAGCAGATCGTACCGAACTTCGCGTAGAATATATTGATTTTGACACTGAAGCTGGCTCTGACTTTTACTCCGCGGGTCATGGCACTATGCCAAGTCAAGCAACTAGTGAAGTATGGACACATTCCGGTTCGGTAGCACCTAATGATTTCTACTCAGCAACTGATTTGAACGGTGTATGGATGACGTTTACATCTGATAGTATTAATACAACCCGTGGGTTCCATGCAGTTGTCACGCATACTGGTAAGCACAGCTTAATACGCAAAGATATGCGATGTTTCAGTGTAATGCGAGGTTACCTTAAAGCGCGGTAGTTGTCGCGCTGCGCATGTGCGAGATATATGGGTCTCATATAAACAAAGATGGCGACTTTGACTGTTGCGCAGATCAACGAGTACGAAATGAGTCGTTTCCAAGCTTTAATTAAGCAATTTTCATGTTATTGGAAGGTATCGAAAGTGTCACCGTCGGTAATCAGTGCAAGTCGCGCCCAGGTCAAACCTCATACTTGTGATTTCCATTAGAAGAGCGCATTAGATTGTAGAAAAATCAATGTTTATCAACACAAATATCGCACATGCGCAGCGAGACGACTACCGCGCTTTAATATGTATCTTTAACGCAATGGGACACGCACACCTGATAGAGATATCGCATTTCCCTGACATATGCAACCATGAACGGCAAAACATGTCTCGTTCACAATGACATCTTAGCGGTCATTAGCATTTAATTTATATTTTGTGTGCAGTTAATGTACAGTATGCATGACGTCTAGTGACGTCACTAGGCGCCTTTGCAGCTCAGAATTATCGAGGTAGGGGAACTGCGACATAGTTTTGGATACTGCTCCAGTATCGAACCTGTGTGATTCTTTCATGGTAATCCAACTCAGTTCTCCCGATTGTTAAATGTATCTGTGACATCGTTGGCTTTATAATTACATGTGTCATATCTCTGATTATATGTATTGTGGAAAAAACATGGTCCTGTTGGTGGGCATTTCGTAGACAACAATATTTATTCGCATATTTTGTATTTTACAGGCGGTTCTTGTGCTAATGATTGTGGAATTATCTTGCCGGACTGTCGCTGTAGAACTGACTGCGTTTATACAGACTCTTGCTGCCGAAATTACTTCGACCTGTGTGCCGGTATATGTATAAACTTATTTGTTCTCTCTCTATTTGGTATTCTCGCTGTAAGTCTTTTCGGGGATGTACACGAATATCTGATATTGTAATCAAATCAAAAAATAGATCTCGAAACCTTTTGGTTTGTAGCTGGACTGGACAGTATTCAGCATTAGATTCTAAGCGGTTTCTATTATTTTTAATATTTTTGTTGGTGGTCACGGATTTAGGGATAGGCGCACTAGGCGCTGGTCGATATCGTTGTATATATAACGTGATCTGTGTTGCAAGTCAATCGTGACTGTGATGGCTGTTCTAATCTAAATGTGTTATATACTATACACATAACATGTATTTTCATTCTAACTCACTTCAAATAAATTAATAAATCTGTATATATTATTACAGTTGACTGTAGTGAGACTGCAGTTATACCCACCGCTGGTAAGGTAGATGTGATGTCACCAAATTATCCTCAAGATTATCCCGACAACGCTTTGTGTCAATGGCTGACTACGAATGAAGACGGTAACGATATCATGGTACAGTTTGTAGACTTTGATACTGAGGAAGGCTATGATTACTTCTTCTCTGGTAATGGTAATGATCCCAGTCAGAACAGCAGTGTTATATGGGCACACTCTGGAAGTGTGCTACCGAGTAATTACCGTTCATCGGGAGACACTGTGTGGATTCGATTCGTATCTGACAACAGCGTCAGCAGATCAGGTTTCCATGTGTCACTTTCTGATGCAGGTAAGGTTTTACAAATACCACGTTACATTGTGTTAAATATTATGTTGGAGAATGTAATGCATTTGATAATCACATGATATTTGTATTTAAGTCTTGTAATATTCTGTTAAAGCGGGAGTGTCGTCACCTGCGCACGCACGGGAATTGAGTCTCAAGCGATAACAACACACGCTGAGAACGCAAAGGCTCATGGGTAGACGCTTGTTTATAAACAATTACACGCTATGGCCACCTGGCGCATGCGTAGGTGACGAGTCTCCCGCTTTAAATTATAATTAAATAAGTCAGAAATTATAATTTGATAAGGGTCACGAAAATAGTACAGGACTAATCAAGTCTGTGACGAACCTGGTATGAATAGATTTTCATGTCAGCTAAAAAATATACTAGTGTACATCATACACTGTCTGTTAACATCACAACTTTACCGCTCGTACTTGTGTCATCGTGCTGCTCTATCTGGCGAAATGCGATTGTTATAGCATATATTTGGTGCTTGTTAGTTTATATTAATATATTCACCCTCTAATCTGTCCGACCATTGTTATTCTAGCAAGCAATTTTATTTTATTCTAAGTGATATGATGATACTATTACTCAACACTGTTTTTCATTTTTAAAAGATACAGCGTTTAAAAAAAATCGTTACATTTTAATTATATATTTGACAACAAACTTTTACTAAATGTACAATCCAAATCCCAATCATTTACAATTCGTCCTGAACTCCATGCTACAAGAATTTCCTTGTGAACTTCTAAATTATATATGTTTATGTGCTCTTTCCACTTATCACATACTTAAAGTTCATATTTAATTATTACTGTTAAACTGTATTGTATGTAAACTGCATGTTCTATATGTGGCGATATGATCATTTATGACCAATATTCCAATGTCACGAAGGAACATCTGGTACTACATGTACTTGTTATATGCTTTTTATTCATATGGCTTTCTCACGCAGCTATGTTAAGTTGTGTTGTGATCGTTGGATCACGGGTGAAATAAAAAAAAAAAGTCTTACAGATGAACACAGTGACAAATCAAGAAAACGGAAAGAATGATTTGTTCATTTTAAAGCGAGGGAGTCGTCACCTGCGCATGCGTCAGATGGCCATAATGTGTCATTGTTCACAAACAAGCGTCTACCCATGAGCCTTTGCGTCCTTAGCGTGTGTTGTTATCATCGCTTGGAACTCAATTCCCGCGCGTGCGCAGGTGACGACACACCCGCTTTAAGACTTGATTAGTTCAAATATATGTAACTGGTTTACCAGATTGTAAAATATGCATTTAATCTTGAGTCTGTACACAGTATCTGAAAATAACAGACTATTGTGTGTTGGTCTTAATGCGGTATATGTAAATTTCAGCTAATAAAAATAATGAACATTAAATGTTGTATTGTCTTGTGTATGAGTACGATACGTCAATTGTTTGTTATTATATGCTATATATTATTGTGTTATTTAGTTATTTCTATTTTTTCTCAATTTTCAGGGTCGTCATCTGCACTTGAGGAAAATGATGACAGTGTTGTATAATGAAGTATCCATTGATTCTGCTTTACTGATTTCAAGTTTTAGAAAAGAGATAAAAAGAAATAAAAATACTGCACTTCACTGTTATTGTCACGTGTTATTGCTACTTACCCAAATAATATATATATATATATGTAACAAATACTTTTAGTGAACCAAGTTGATAACCAATATTCTCTGATATATTTGGTGCTGATGATATTTACAATGAAAGTCGACTGTTTATATGGTCTATTTATATGGACCTAACATTGTGATAGATCACTACTATATGGTGTGATTATGTGTAGTCTGATATATGTTGGGGTAACTTCGTTCTGTCATTTAGTGAATACTGCTTTTGACTTTAAAATTTATAAACATTTCAACCAGGAGGATCACACATTTTATTATGCCTGTTCGCATTATTATGTACTATCAATAGCCCTACACGGAGTTCAGGATTCTGTAGAGAGAGTGAAATCTCAGATATTGGCAACTTTCAAGTCCAGGATGTAGTGAGGTCAATGTCATGTTATGTCTCTGAACGTCAAAGACAAAGTCATGGGCATAGATATTATCATAAGACAAAATTCAATAGTGATATCTAGTGAAATAAATTCAATATTTTGTTGGTACACTTTTGATCTTCATCTCATATGCACCTCACTATTTTCTCCTATTCAGAGACTCAGTGAAGCATTTTTGAGATTATGTATTTGGATTATCAGATTCATATACACTAAGATATACACTGACTGGTGTTGTTGCTGATATTTCACTGTGCAGACGTTTGAAACGTGTTCAATCAAAACCTAATTTGATAAAAAAAAGGTACTTTATGTACCCTTCTTTTGCAAATAAGCGAATCGATTTTTACACATCAACAATATACAACACAATAAAAGATCTCCATCATACCCATTCCATTTTATACAAGCAATAGATTTGTATGCTCCAGATTTACTGATTCCATTCAAACATATATTTGTCGTAATATTTGCCCCTTTACATGTACGATTTATTAATTCAACTTAGTGCAATCGTTACTAAAGTAAAGTTCCCTGATTATTACCAAACGCTTCAGCGTGGTATTAAGAGTTTGTTTTCAGGGGTGGGTGATACCAAGGTGGGAAATGGATGCAAATATGGGGTTAATTCCTTGAATTGCAATATAGAGGGTTCAGGCCGAAATACAATATATAGTGTTTTCATGTTTCGTCTGATATTTTTGTGGTATTCTGCTGCTGTAAGTAATGCACGATTTGTTCCGAAATTCAGTATTTTGTGTGCATTCCAGGGTTATTCGTTTTTTGCTGAAAACACCCCTATTTTTTAATGGCAGAGTCGAATAGTTTCACTCCCACTGGGAAATCTGCATTGTTGCTTGAATGAGAGCTAATTAAACACATTTCCCAGACCGGCGAAAGAGTATGCAACAGCCAATTTTAACAGCCTGTCACATGATTTTAGTCTGAATGTCAACATGAAAAGAGGCTAGTCCATTATACGCAGGAGTAATTGGGAGTAGAATATGTGAGGGATAGTATTAACAGAGATGTGTATACTGGAAAGTAATAACTATCATACTTTTGCACTCTGAGCATTCCTGTTTTAGTATATTGGTTTGAAATGTTGAACTTGCATGATTTGCAATGTGTTTTTTTTACTGAAACTCCCCTATTGATCGAATTCCGGGTTTGACGAGAACGACACACCACGTGATTCATTTGATACATGCTG